TATCAACAAATCTCCACCTTGACTTGAATCCTCTTCCTCTGAAATCTCTGATGTACTCTGCTCCTTCTCTCTCTCCCGCCATGAATGCCCCGTAGGACGGAGTCACCCACTCAAGACATTCAGCAAGTCCAAGCAGTGTTGGAACTTGCCACGTGGAACCGACTTCGTGAACATATCAGCAGGATTATCCACGGTGCCAACCTTCTTCACCTTAATCCTCTTCTCTGCCCTCAAGAAATGATACCTCACATCGATGTTCTTAGTCCTCTCATGGTGGACTTGATCCTTGGCCAAGCATATTGCACTCAAACTGTCGCAATACACCATTGCCTGATCATGATGTAGACCCAGATCACCAACCAGTCCCTTCAACCATATTCCCTCCTTAGCAGCTTCTGTCAACGCCATATACTCTGCCTCAGTAGTAGACAATGTCACCGCCGACTGCAGAGTTGCCTTCCAGCTCACTACAGAACTCCTAAGAGTGAATACATAACCGGTCATCGATCTCCTCGTGTCAACATCTCCAGCATAGTCCGAGTCAGAATAGCCAGACACCAAGCACTCTGTTTCACTTCCGAAGCTAATCCCCACATCAGGTGTACCCTTAAGGTACCGGAAGATCCTCTTCACAGCCTGCCAATGCTCCTTTCCAGGTTGTATCATAAACCTGCTGACAACACTAACAGCATGTGCAAGATCAGGTCTAGTGCATACCATAGCGTACATCAAGCTACCTACTGCACTAGGATATGGGACTCTCGACATGTACTCCTTCTCAGCCTCTGATTGCGGTGCATAAGCTGAGGATAGATGAACATTTGAGGCACTAGGAGTATTTAAGGGCTTTGCTGAAGACATACCAAACCTCGACAGTATCTTCTGGATGTAGCTCTTCTGTGACAAGAAAAGCTTCTTCTTCGACCTGTCCCTGTAAATCTCCATACCCAAGATCTTCTGAGCGGCTCCCAAATCCTTCATCTCAAACTCAGCACTGAGAAGCCCCTTTAACTTCTGGATATCAGACTTTGACCTCGCAGCTATGAGCATATCATCCACATACAGAACTAGATATATCATCGAACCATCCTCTGCCTTGCTGTGATATACACAACAATCATATGGACTTCTGCTGTAGCCCAGCTCAAGCATGTAACTGTCAAATCTCTTGTACCACTGCCTCGGAGACTGCTTAAGTCCATACAAGGACTTCTTCAGCTTACAAACATAGTCTTCTTTTCCCGGAACTTCGAATCCTTCTGGCTGAGTCATCTAAATTTCTTCATCCAACTCTCCATGTAGGAAAGCTGTCTTCACGTCTAGCTGCTCGAGCTCCAAGTCATAATGTGCCACTATTGCTAGTAGCACTCTGATCGAAGTATGTCTGACCACTGGTGAGAAAATCTCATTGTAGTCAACTCCTTCCCTCAGCGAGAAGCCTTGTGCAACCACCCGAGCTTTAAATTTCATGCCCTCTTTAGAAGTGATTCCTTCCTTCTTCTTGTAGATCCACTTGTTTGTAACAATCTTCCTTCCCTGTGGTCGTTTGACTAGCTCCCAAGTCTGATTCCTGTCATGGGATTCCATCTCATCTCCCATTGCGGCAAGCCACTAATCAGCTTCACCACCCGAAACTGCTTCTCTATAGGACTGTGGCTCTCCTGCATCCACTTCCTTAGCAACCTGAAATGAATACGCCACCATGTCCTCGAAGCCATACCTCTGTGGAGGTACTCCTGCAGTCGCTCTCTTTGGTCTACCGGAAGCAATAGACTGTTGAGCTCGTGCACTGGACTCTGATGTTTCTGGCTCTGCAGAGACATCCTCATCATGTTGATCTTCTCCACCTTGGTGCTCAAACTCACTCTCTTTGAGAGTTTGCAGCTCCACCTGTTTATCAACATTCCTGCTACCTTCAGCAACAGTAACCTTCAACATGGGGTTAAACATAGACTTCTCATCAAATATCACATTTCTACTAAGTATAACTCGATGCTCAGAAGGTGACCAGACTCGAAATCCCTTAACTCCATCACCGTAACCCACAAATACGCCCTTCTTTGCCCTTGGGTTCAGTTTACCCTCATCCACGTGATAATAAACAGGACACCCAAAAACTTTCAGTGAAGAGTAATCAGCAGGCTTACCATACCACACTTCATAAGGAGTCTTACACTCGATACATGTGTGTGGTCCACGATTGATCAGGAAGCACGCCATGTTTATTGCTTCTGCCCAGAATCTTCTCTCTAGTCCAGCATTAGTGAGCATGCACCGTGCTCTCTCCAACAATGTCTGGTTCATCCTTTCTGCAACGCCATTCTGCTGGGGTGTATCTCTAACAGTCCGATGACGGGCAATCCCTTCATCCTGGTAGAATTCGTTGAACTCAGAATTACAGAACTCCAGACCATTGTCCGTTCGCAACTTCTTGATCTTCTTCCCGGTCTGATTCTCCACCAATGTCTTCCACTGCTTGAACTTCGTGAAAGCTTCACTTTTCTGCTTCATCATGAAAATCCAAGTAAATCTCGAATAATCATCAATAATCGACAGAAAATACCTGCTGCCTCCAATCGATTCAACTCGTGAAGGACCCCAACAATCGGAGTGGAGGTAATCCAGTATCCCCTTTGTCCGGTGGATACCCTTCTTGGGAAACTTGCTGCGATGTAGCTTCCCAAACACACAATGCTCACAAAATTCCAAATTCTGCACCTTGTGCCCGCAAAGAAGATCCCTCTTCGATAGAACTTGCATCCCCGTTCACTCATATGCCCCAGTCTCATGTGCCAGAGAGTGGTCATATCTTCCTGTTGAACCTGAGACGATGCAACTGCAGCAGAACCAGACAACACAGACCCTTGTAATGCATACAAGGTCCCACGCTTCACGCCCTTCAGCACCTTCCTTGAACCTTTGCAGACATACACAACTCCACCTTTTCCTTTGAAGCTGAAACCCTTGCTGTCAAGTAGACTCAAGGAGATCAGGTTCTTTGTCATTCGGGAACATGCCTGACATCATTCACGGTACAGAATGAACCATCATGTGCCCGAACCTTTATGGACCCTATTCCAACAACCTTCCAGACAGCTCCATTTGCCATGACCACGTTACCACCATCTATCTGCTCGTAGGTTGTGAAGCAATCCCTATTCGGAGACATATGGTATGAGGCTGCAGTATCCAGAAACCACACATCACCACGATGTGCCTTCTCATCTACAGCCAAGGCGAGATCGTCTTCAGAACTGTTGTCCACATCTGCCACGGCAACTGAACCTTGTTTCTTCTGTTGCCCTCTTCTCTTGGGACAGTTGTACTTCCAATGCCCCACTTCCTTACAGTTGTGACAAGCATCACCTGGCTGTGGACCGGGACCCTTGGAATTCTTGCTCGAATTCCCTTTTCCAGATTTCTTCTTTCCCTTTCCACCTGTAACAGCCAAACCCGATGCCTCACCAACTGTACCAGATCCGGACGCCTTATGTCTAATCTCTCTCGTATGAAGAGCAGACCTGACATCCTCCAATGACACGCTTTCTTTACCGGCAATAAAAGAATCAACGAAATTCTCATATGAACTCGGCAAAGAAACCAGCAGGATTAGGGCAGCATCCTCGTCATCAACTTGTACATCTATATTACGCAGATCCAGCAAAATAGAGTTAAGCTGTTCGAGATGTTCCCTCAAAGGCGTACCTTCTTGCATCCTCAAGCTGAACAACCGTTGCTTGAGATGCAGCTTGTTGGTTAGGGACTTCGTCATATACAGACTCTCCAGTTTCAACCACAAGCCCGCGGCAGTCTTCTCAGCAGCGAATTCAATGATGACGTCATCAGACAACGATAGCATGATGGTCGAGTGGGCCTTCTCCTCCAGGGTATTCCACTCATCGTCATCGACCGCTGCCTTCTTCTGTTTCGCAGACAGCGGCCCCCACAGCCCTTGCTGTTTTAATAAAGCCTGCATCTTGATCTGCCATATAGCGAAGCTGTTCTTCCCCGTGAACTTTTCGATCTTCATGTTCACCGACGTCATTCTTCTGAATCGAAAACCCTAGCCTGATTTCCAGCCGCGGCTCTGATACCACTTGTTATAAACGCGCTGCTATGGATCGGGAAATCGCCGGAATCGACAAAGCAAGAATACGAAAGCGAGAATCGAAAACACGACACACGATTTACGTGGTTCACTAACACGATGTGTGTTAGCTACGTCCACGGGCGAGAGAGGGCCGATTTCACTATATCAAGGAGATTACAGAGGAGTATGAGAAGTATTTATAGTACTTCTTCATGTGGGTCTAAACCTAATCCAATCTGCCAAAGGAAACGGTTACAGACCAGGCCCAGAACCCGAACCCAAATAACATTGAGCCCGATTACCAGTCGTAGCGGCTGATAGTCCGATTCAAGTCATATCAACACTAAATAACACACGTATTATATATAGCACACAAATATATATTGTATTTTTCTAAAAATAGAGTTAACTATTGATTAGATTAGAAAAAGGCTTTGATTGGTTTTAACTAGATAATTTTTTTTGTTCTCTCTTCAGATAGATTGAGAAAAGCTCTATGTTATATTTGAGCAAATTGGACCGACGATGCCTTACTCTTGAACTGATGAACTTGGTCTGAAAATCCATGTACTCAGCCAAATTGGTCCAAATGTGTCTTCTTCTGTCCTTCATGATTACTTTGCGAACGCATCAGCAGCATGTCAGCTTCCATTTCTGAATCCCTCCGCTCCGCTGTCTGTAGTTGAAAACCCATCGACATCCACATTATTATATGAGGAACAAATATCAGCATCACAAAGTCAAATACTTGCCCTGTAATTGGAATGCCCACCAATCTCCCACTTTTATTCAATCCACACAACTAACTGCACTGATTCTCAGTCAAAAAGTAATGAATAACAGAAGTATACACTACATTGGCCCAACAAATTCTGACACTATTTCGGGCCACTGGGCTGGACGATTTGCATTAATGGGGAGCTAAAACAGGGATGCTCTGTTCATTCCAGAAGAAATTGGATGGGTCGACTGCAGTTTTAACACGGACCAGCCTATCAAAGTTGCCATTGAAATACTTCAAACCCCAGATTCTGGCCCGTTCGTAACTATCATCGTTCTTCCCGTTCCGGCCCAAATCAAGATCCCTGTAATTATAGTAAGCAGCTCGAGGTGCCTTGGAGACATATGGAGCCATGTACTCATACAGTTCTCTGATCCACCTCATGTGTAAACTCGTCTCCTCCTCTGTATCCCAAGTCACGATGTACTGAATCATGTATATGTAACCTCTCCTATGAGGAAATGGAGTTTCTGAATCAGGAATCTCTCCCGTCCTGCCGCCGTAAGGCGTCAGGATCAGCATAGACGACTCCTGTTCCAGAACCCGCTTGAAAAGTCCTTCGAGCCCGAGTCCTGAGATGGGTTCTCTCGCGTAATCCGATTTCGCTTTAAAGAACCCATCGAAGGTTGAGGTTCGATTGAGCAGCGCTTTCAACGAGATGTTGTTCACCGCGAACCCTGCAAAGTACATCACAGACTGAATCCAACTGACTTCCTGACTGCTTTCCGCGGCCAAACCCAGCTCTGGGAACCTTTCCTCCATCAGAGGAAGTAGTTCCTTCACTCTGCCGAGAAAAAGTCCCACAAACACGAACTGAATTGTTCCGTTATTGGGTTTAATGACGGCGTGAAGGAATAATTCCTTGGGGAGGTTGTGGCTCACGTTTTGCCACTTCTGGAAGACCTGAACCCCGCCTTGTTCCGCAATCCTGCTGACACTAAAAATGGTTACGATTTCAGGAACGGGAACTAACTCGACTTTCCATGCCAAGATTACTCCAAAGCTGGCTCCTCCTCCGCCTCGGATGGCCCAAAACAGGTCCTCTCCCATGGAATTCCTGTCCATGATCTCTCCATTCGCGTCGACGATCCTGGCATCCATAACTCTATCCGCCGCTAAGCCGTACTTTCTGAAAATGGTCCCAAATCCACCTCCACTGAAGTGGCCTCCCACTCCCACGGTCGGGCAGCTTCCAGCAGGGAAGCCATGAACCCTACTCTTCTCTGCAATCCTGTAGTACAATTCACCTAGCGTGGCGCCTGTCTCCACCCAGGCGATCTCATTTTCTATGTCGACCTCGATGGACCTGAAATTCGAGAGGTCGACCAGCACGAACTTCTGGTGTGTAGATGATGAGTATGATAAGCCCTCATAGTCGTGACCTCCACTTCGTGTCCGCACTTGGAAACCTGACCGCTTGGCGCAAATTATGGTGGCTTGGATGTGTGATTCGCGGGTGGGGGTAACAATGAATTCGGGTTTCGACCACGAGTCGAATGATGAAGAGTTGACGAACCTGTTGTTTCGAATGGAAGAGTTGAGAAGGGGTGAATACAGGGGAGAGTTTCTAGGAATGACGACTTGGGTGTGATTGTTGGAGTAATGAGAGTAGAAGCATTGCTGGAAGCTTCTTCCATGGTTGGGAGTTGGTATTGAAGCTGCAGAAAAGAGTGAAGTGGTAATGACCAAGAACAGTACTGTCGTAAACAACATGTTGTTAGGGTGGGAGTAATGTGGAGCCATTTGATTGACGAGCTAGCTACTGATGATGGTGAAGCTAATCATATTTAATGTTGCTGCTGCTTGTCCACATTCATTTTGGCAAGGGATCGTGCGGCCGGGTGGTTTTAATGAGGTTTCAGATTCCTTTGTCAGGATCCGACGACATTGCGGCCTTGGAATATGCCTTACTGAAGAAATGTTGTATCGTAGTTGTTCCATCCGTCCGGCTTTCTGGAGAGTCAAACGGATGCATTTGTTTGTTTTCACTTTCAGATTCGGCAGATTCCATTGCGGGTGCGGGAAGAAGAGAACTGGACTGAGCTTCAACTTCATCGATGGTTAGCGGGAAATTTTAGGATCTGGAAGAATAATTTATCGGTTCGGTGGTGGATGGGGACATATGAAGGTTTGTAATTTCCGTGAGTTACGATGTAATTGAAAAGAACAGATGGGCTTTGCGAGGCAGCATAATCTCCCGTTGGGCCAATAAACCCCTGAGCGACACCTTGGGCTTCCACTGCGGATGCCATATCCGCCAGCTTTGGGCTTTTTTGTCCACAGATTTTTTTTTTTTTTACAACTGGCCTGTATCCATTAATTATCAAGCTTCAGGGGCAAATTGGCAATCCATTAAAAGTTGGGGATCAAGAAAATTGGAGGACGGGAAACCAAATTTCCGTCTCCTCCCAGTGACAGTTCACCCTCGCCATTACTTGTGCCCCTTTCATAGTTCATTCCCTTTCCTTCTCCAAAACCTCCATCGAACACTCCCCCATTCATTCGCCTTGTCACGAATTTCTTCACAATTTCAGCTACGTCTTCAAATCCTTTACCTCATGTCGATCTAGTTTCTGGATTAGCGTCTGGAAATCACTCTCCATTAACAGTGGCAGATAGTGATGTGCCTGCGCCAATTTTAGTCCCCATTCCCCAAAGCAAAGCTTCGGCTTCTGCCATCTCCGGTGTCCATCTCGTTCGTGTCCTGTGGACTACAGCTATTTGTCCATAGATTTTGAGGAAGCGGGAAACCAAGGATTAATGATTTTTTTGTTGTTGGGTAAGGATATAAAAATTGATTTTTTATCCATATGGATGTTATTTCATTACTAACCAGCACTGCAGTAGTGGCCTTACAATCCTCTATAGAGATTTTTTCAGAAATAGAACTGTTTAAAAAAAAAATTCTAAAAATAGCACCAAACTCCGAAAAATTCCAAAAATAGCACCATTTTTGTAAAACCACCACCCGGAGGTGCGTTTTTCGATGAAAACGCCACCCGAGGGCGCGTTTTTCGATGAAAACCGCACTGGTAGGGAGCGGTTTTGCAGACCGCACCCCAGGGTGCGTTTTGTCTTTTTTTTTTTTTAAACCGCACCCCCAGGGTGTAATCTGCATTTTTTTTTTTTTTGAAACATCCTAACTTAGGTGGAAATTTCAAACGAACGTATCTTTATGTTCGGGTATCCGATCGTCGCGATTTTTTTTTTGATTCCGCATAACTTTTTGAGATCTTGCAAGCCGAAGACTGCCAAAGGTGGTTTGGTCTCGCCTTCGTCCCACAAAATGTCGTTTGCTACCCTGAACGAACTTTTTTCCGATTTCGTCAAACTTTGGACAACCATAACTTTGTGCTCCAAAATCCAAACGTCATGAATTTTTTTTTATTTCGCATAAATTTTTAAGGAATACAACTTTTATCATAGACATAATTTCAAAATGTACGTGGATTGCTGAGAAGGGAAGATAAGCTATTCCCAAAATCCTGTATATCCAAAAATAATTCCTGTTTTGAAAATACATTCCTAGTAAAAATTGTAGTCCTTAAAAAGTTATGCGAAATAAAAAAAAATCATGCCGTTTGGATTTGGAGCACAAAGTTACGGTTGTCCAAAGTTTGACGAAATCGGAAAAAAGCTCGTTCGGGGTAGCAAACGACATTTTTTGGTATGAAGGCGAGACCAAACCACCTTTGGCAGTCTTCGGCTTGCAAGATCTCAAAAAGTGATGCGGAATCAAAAAAAATCGCGACGATCGGATACCCGAACATAAAGATACGTTCGTTTGAAGTTTCCACCTAAGTTAGGATTTTTCAAAAAAAAAAAAAAAGCAGATTGCACCCTGGGGTGCGGTTTGCAAAAAAAAAAAAAGACAAAACGCACCCCTGCAAAACCGCTCCCTACCAGTGCGATTTTCATCGAAAAACGCGCCCTCGGGTGGCGTTTTCATCGAAAAACGCACCTCCGGGTGGCGGTTTTACAAAAATGGTGCTATTTTTGGAAATTTTTTTTTAAACAGTGCTATTTCTGGAAAAATCTCTCCTCTAAAAGCTAGCGTAAAAAAAAATATTGGAGGCCTAGCTTGTTAGACCTCTTCTTCTCAATTACACATTGTATAGGTCGTGAGGTAGATTGGTTCATCTCTCACCTTCACATCAAGGTAGCTTCATTTCCCAACTTTTACCCCACTAGAAGGCAGTGTGTCTCAACTTCTCCTAGTAGGAGGACAGTCAAATGAATCATGGAGGCCTTGTTCCAAAATTGAGATGTGGTCCAAATTAATTTTTAACTATAATAAAATTAAAATGATTATACCATAATTATTTGAAATATAATATCTTTCTAACATTGTTTAAAATAAAATTATCTATTATGCCTCTAATCTTCGTATTCTCCATGGGATAATTTCAGTTGTTATCATGGCTATTCCATTAAAATTTTATTGTATTATCTTTTTAATAGAAATATAATTTTCGAAACAAAAATAATACTTTAACAATGAATATAATGTCTAATGTATATATACATGTGAATATTAACCAATGACTAACATTAATATTAATTAATAAAATTAAACTCATTATCATACTCATAATCAATTAATCATAAACTACAAATACAATTTACAATACACAATTGGATTAACTAAAATATCTAAGTAGAGTTATTCATTAAAAAGAAAATAACCGTGATTACTTAGTAGAAAACGAAGATTCATTAAACAAAGAATTGGCACTAGTTCAACCATCAAAAGTTGTTCTGTTATACACCAAGGAGAGCTTTCGAACATATATAGCCAACCTGTTTTTCATTACAAGTAACATGATATAACACTCTTATGGGCCGTTCACTTGCCACTTCGTTTCTTATAGTTTTGGAAACAAAAAAAAACTAAAATGAAAATGAAGCTATCGTTTTCTGAGAAACAAAACCCGAAGAAAACTTGCTTAGTTGAGAATTTGGTGAGTTCTGAATTTGGATTCTGAAAATGAAAATCTGTTAGTTACTTCCTGTTTCTGATACTTTATTGTCACTATTTTTTTCATGGAGTATCATACAACTCTAATAATAATTATAATTTTTAATCTGAATCACATTATTATCCCACAACTTATTTGTGATTCCATCACATTCGTACATTTGTTTGCTCGAATTTGATTTGAATTGCAATTTTATACGTATCTTTCTTGTCATCTTTTACAATTCAAGTAGGTATAATAACACTAATTGTGGGAGGTTAACATGTAATGGTAAATGGGCACATAGAGAGGCATGTTTTTTCATCCTTCCTGTCATCTTTTACGATTCAAGTAGATAATAACATTGGAGATGTTTTTTCATCCTTCCTGTCATCTTTTACGATTCAAGTAGATAATAACATTGGAGGGAGGTTAACATGTAATGTAATGGCAAATGGGCACATAGAGTAGGTGAAATTATGGAGAAGAGGAGCGTTGCAGATCAACGGCGGTAGGCGACAGGGGGCCAGTGAAGCAAAATAAAATACCCCTCGTCGTTGATGCTTCTCGTCGCCGGAAGAGCTTAGTTCGTCACCGGAAGGAGAGGGAGAGAATGGCGCCGTTGGTGGTATGGAGGAGGACGAGCTTCTCGTCGCGGACGGAGGGTTGATGGAGGGAGAGAACAACATCGTTGCCCACTGCCCGCTGGTGGTATGGGGAGAAGGCTCGAGCTGCTATCCAACTCGTATAGGGTTAGAGAAACGGAGCTGAGCAAAAGGTTGCGTATAAGAGTAGCGTAGCAGATGCAAAAATTAAGTGGCTGGGGGAATCAAAACGCATACCTCATTAATGAACAGTGCCAGTTGCCGCTAGGAAACGGGGAATAACCCGTATCATGGTTTCCACAGGAAACATCATTTTTTTTGTTCCCTCCTGGATTTCTCATTTGTGCCAAATGGATTTTTACAAAGAAAATGAAACTGCAAGTGAACACATTTCTTGTCATCTGATTTTTTATTTTTATTTTTTAAACAGAAACCAGAAAACAAAATGGGAAGTGAACATGACATTAGGTATCACAACCCTTTTATTCATGACAAATGTCAACAATGCCACCACAAATTTTGTTGCGAAGCTTATAGATATATCAACTAGGTGTCAAAAGATAGAGGTGTTAGGAACACTATTTAATTATGTGATAGTCATTGTCACAACCACTTATAGGAAACATTTGTTGAAGATGGTGGATAACTCATCCGATTCCGAATTTTAGCCAAGTCTTTTAGTAATTAGTTTCGTGGTAAGTTCAGAATTTTATTCATATTTCCATACAAAATATCAGTTAGCTTGCTGACTTACTAAAAATTTAATAATATAATACCATACACCCAAACCAATCCTTAAAACCTATCTCTTACATAGAGGAAACTCTCAACATTTTCAATGAAAATTTAAATGAATAAACATGCAATGGTTATATTGTTATATCATACTGTATAACTTTATTTTATTACTCGACTTTTTTTTATCATTACTCTACATTCAGATAATGGGTAAATTCCTACCCAAAAAAAAAAGATAATGGGTAAATGTGTTGGAGTGAAGTGTTTGCCCTCCCGTTAGTTAGGGATGGCAATGGGTAGGGTCGGGTGCGGGTTTACCCTATACCAACTCCTAATCCGCTGGGTAGAGCTTTCTAAAATATCCGACCAAATAACTACCGGGTATGAAAATTATATAACAATATCCTACCCA